ATCACACCAGCTCCTTTGGGGAGGGGGGGGGGGGCACCCTAGGGCCCCTTGCAAAACCCGGGGGGGGGGGGGGGGGGGGGGGGTGGCAGTTGTGTTTTCACATGTTTTTTCAGTATCCTGCGCCCAGGGTGTGGTGGGGCATGGCGGTGAGTGCAGGGTGTGGGGAGGGGCATAGAGGGTGGGGATTCCAGGAGACTTCAGGAAAATTTGATGTTCAATCCTCTAGCAGCAGTCCTGTTAATCCACTGATAGATTTTGCCTTTTTAATCGCTGTATTTATTTTCCCCATATTTATGCAGCGGTTCTCAATCCTGTTGTGTGAATAATATAGTCAAAATATATCTAAGAAATCTGTTACAATGAATGACAAATGATGTGACGAAAACTTTGACCAAGCTGTACGATATCCGCAGCGCTCTGTGTTAAAACACACGCAGACGTGTACGTGTACTTATTAGGTGTGTAAGGCTTGGTGGCAGCTTGATAACGTGCGGCGATGACAGATTACAAAAAAAAAAACAAATTGTTGAAAATGTTGAGGAAGCTATAGAGAGAGAAGCAGCCAAATAGAGAGGATCAGAGAGAGATAGGAAGGGAGAGAGAGAGAGAGAGAGAGAAACAGCATGGAAATGCCCACTGGGAGCTGTTCATGGTGCTGATGCTCACCCCTCCCACAATCACTCCCTGTTTCAGATTGACTTCTCCAACCTTTGTAATTTTTTGCGGGGGGGGCTGAAGGTCCATCGTGTTGTCAATAGCAGCAACATCAGGAGGACAGGGGGATGCTGAGAATGAAAGTGAAGGTGGTGGAGGAAGGGGGGGGGAGGGGGCAAAACATCTGTTTGGTAATTGGGCTCCCTTCAGTGTTGTAACACATATACATTGACATCCATTTGGTAATTGCTCTTCCCAGCTTCGTCTTCAGCTCTGCCATGATGCTAATTTGCTGACTGCGATGTAATGTGACTGGGAATCAAAGGGGCGCGTCGGCGTGGTCGCGGTGCGCGTGGTTTGCCGGCGTGAGGAAGTGAGCGATGACAGGAGCGGCCCGTTAAGACCAATTACGCCCCCCCCTCTTCTGTTTGTGAGCCTGGCAGATTGGATTCCACCTCAACTTTTCAGCAGTAATTCCTTTGGCCGGCTTACTCCGTACAACACTATCTCTGTCTGCAGTTAATACATCCATAAGTTCTATAGTACAACAATGTGGGACAGAATGTACGCTGTACATACTGCATGTTTGCTCTGTCTGCATCTAATTGAGACACATAGTCCAGGAAAATGGACACTTCAGACTGCAGCACCTGATGCAACTGTAGGAAAATTATGTGTTTGTAATCTGCAATATATTAAGTGTGTAATACATAGGGTGTAATCTGGAGTGTATACTGTGTGTAATACACAGTGTATAATGTGCAGAATCTGCAGTGCATATTGTGTGTAATGTGTAGTGTATAATGTGTATGATCTGCAGTGTAAATTGCGTGTAATCTGCAGAATATAATGCCTGTAATCTGCAGTAGATAATGTGCATAATTTGCAGTGAATGATGTGTGTAATACGCAGAGTATAATGTGTGACATCTGCAGTGTATATTGTTTTAATTTGCAGTATGTGATATGTGCAATCTCAAGTGTATAATGCGTTCAATCTTCAGGGTATAATGTGTGTGATCTGCAGTGCATAGCATGCGTAATCTGTAAAGTATAATGTGTGTAATCTGCAGTGTATATTGTGAGTAATCTGCAGTGTATAATGTGTGTATGCTGCAGTGTATGATAGTGAATGTTGTGTGTAATCTGCAGTGTATAATGTGTGTATAATGTGTGTACTCTACAGTACGTGTTATGTGTTTTTAGAAAGGACAATATTTGTGCCGTGTGTGGGCATGTCAGGGCTCAGGGAATATCTGTGTTATGTCTACTGGGAGGGGGTGGGGGGTGGGGGGCCTTGTTGTGTCCCCCCCGTGTGCCTCGGGGCTTAAAGCCCTGCTTACATGTCTGGCTGCACAGTGTTCTGTGCCTGTGAGGCTCCCCAGATCACACCAGCTCCTTTGGGGAGGGGGGGGGGGTCATCCTAGTGCCCCATGCAAAAGCCCGGGTGGTGGGGTGGGGTGGGGTGAGGAAGCGGAGGAGCCGGGAGCCCCCACAGCGGGAGCCATTCTTCCTGTCAGAGCTGTTATCGCCGCTGTTATCAATCTCGCTGCCGCTCAGCCCTCGCCATCGATCTCGGGAAGGGTCTGTGAGCCCCGGGGAGCAGCCCAGCCCCCCGGGGCCTGACATTCGCAGGGGGCTGCCGCAGTTTGGACCCAGAACTCGGCTTTCCGATATACGCCACCCGTGATGCGGCTTGGCAGACCGGTCGGCCCAGGAAGGAGCGAAATGGAGCTGTTTCTGTCCACGGCCTGGGAGTCCCCTCCAGCCCCCCCCGCCCACCCAGTCATGTTCCAGTCCCTACTCTTTTAACTGTATATTCTGCTGCTCTGTCTCTCTGTCAGCATTGTGCCTGTATTGAAGAGCTTCTGTGCTGCTGGACCTTCTGGCTCTGCGTTTTCTCTTTTTCTGAAATCTCCACGGATCCTGCTCTGCAAAGTTTGCGGCCCGCCTTAAATCACTCACAGGGAAACGACTGCAATGTTAGTAGCGTCCCGTTTAATGCAGCTTAGCTCGTTAGATCGGTATTTGACACACTGGATTTACACACAACACAAATATTACAGGAATAAAACCATAATTGGGTTGTACAGGGTCAAGTGATGTGTCCGACTGAGCGGTGGATAAAACGCGACTGTGGGTCCCATTGGGCCTGCATGCGACGCTTATTAGAACAGACGGACTGATTTAGCCGGCGCCGCTGCGTGTTTGTTCCGCAAAGACGCGCCATCCTTCTCTCCGCCTGCCATCGGGAGACGCAGAGCGGAACGGACGCCCATCGCTTCGCGTAGCGTTTGATTGATGTGTCATGTCACACCTGAAACCGACCTGCTGGCTCGCTCCGGCGCCCCTGTCTGACCACGGCCATGTTGGATGCACCCCTCCGTGTGTCCTCAGCCGATCTGTCGCTGCCCTCGTGACAGTGACCGGGTTCACGTTTCAGACACGTCTCCTCAACACAGCCAAGTTTTACACGTAGTTTTACACGTAGGCCCATATAACAGGAGCATATAACCACAACACTGCATTAACACTGCATAACACTGCATAACACTGCATAACACAGAAAGACAGCCTTTGTAAATATGCTTTTGTTGCTGTTCCAGGTTGCTGTCCACCTGTCCACAGACACCCCTCCTCTGCCTCCAGCTCTCAGAGGATGAGATGGTAAAAAAAGAAAGGAAAAAGAGAGAGAGAGAGAGTCCATGTGCTCCTATCTCGACCACGGGTATTCTTGGGTTGATAATACGGATGTCGATGTTATTGCTTGAGAATACGCGTAGCTGAGTGGAAGCCATCGTCGGCCCCTGACCCCTGACCTCTGACCTCTCCACCCGGAGAAACCAGTCTTCCCCGGTGATTTGTGGGTAAACAAGCCTGAAGGCGCGCCGTCACCCTGATAGAACCCAAGCTGGCATCAGGGTAAGAGTTAAATGATTATTTGTTGTTTGTTTTTGCTTCGGCGGCAGACGCTGATGGAGCGCGGATGTTAAAAGGGGACGGTGCCGTTTCAGCCGCTCGCCGCCGCTGTGAATTACCTCCCGTAGCAGGAAGCTCGCCACCGCCGAGAAGGTTAGACGCAGAATGTTTCTTTTGTGCCTGAGTTATTGGCCCTGATTACACATGCTCTCTCTTCGCTGGCACAATGAGAGACTGAGAGCAGTGTTTGACGGGGGGGGGGGGGGGGGCGTTTCGGCCCCAGGGGGGTTTTGGGGGGGGGGGGGGGGGAGGTCACTTCGAGCACATGGCAGTTTAGGGGGGAAGAGGGGAAGCTCTGATGGGTTTGAGTCCATGCATTTGTGAGTCCCATTATCTCTTGTTACTATTTGCTGCAGATGCTAATTATCAAGATTATATAAATCCCTCCCCCACGATCCCCATTGTCAAAGTGGCAGAAGGCCCCTGGATGGACCCATTTTTGAAGCACTCAGAGAAATCCTGGTCCTCACGGGCAGTAGATTGTTTCTCCTGGGGCCGAGGGGGTGGGGGGGGTAGAGTGGTGTCCATGAATGAGACTGTACGAGGGAGTGAGTGCAGCACTCCAGCGAGCCCGTTTGTGACACAGCATGGAGAGTAATCTTTATGACTTAGCCAATGAGGAACAGCCCTAATTAGCCAAAGTCCTGCTTCAGACTTGGGATTTATTTATCCCCTTATAATTTGTAATTCCCCAGTCTTCTTATTTGGGGGGGTTGCTCAGCAGAGGTGCCACAAGCCGAAGGATAAGTCCTTTGTTTTATCCTCTCCTCCGTAGACCCCGTCAGTGTGGATTACCTGCACGGTCTGTCGTGACAGTCAGCGGTACATATGAGTGTTTCAGACAGTAGTAGTTGTTCTTGTTGTTGTTGATCTTGTTGATTTTTTTTGTCATTGTGATCGTTCCTAATAAAGGAGCCATCAGATGCTTGGGTGGGGGGGGGGGGTGACTCTATTCTGTTATCGTTCAGTGCCAGTTGTTTCATCACCATGAAAGAACATCAGATGTCCCTCTACGCTTTGTGTTTGGAACAAGGAAAACATCTAGTGGAGCGTGCTGGAACAGTCATGCAGTGTGTGTGAGAGGTCGATGCAGGGAACTCCAGGGATGGAAGAAACTTCAGGCTGCAAATTTCCCCTTTCACCCGCCCTTTTTGTTCAAACCGACGGAGCAGTAGAGCGAACTCACCCTCTGTAACTAACACTTTGATTAATATGCTCTCATTCGGTTTAACTAATGTCCAGAAAGCTCCGAAATTTTCTGAGACATGGAAGAAAAAAATTGCCGGAACCGATTAAATTTAGTATTATGTAATTATTTTGGTTTTTAATGCAGTGCGTTGGCCTTGGTCGTGCGCTTGCGTAAATGGTCAGTACTAATGCATGTACTCTCAAATATTCCACATCCTGACTTCTGTTTTATGCTCCTTCCTTTCAAAGGGATGTCACACATATGCATTTTGGTTATGCTTAGGCGGCACATTGCAGCCTGCTGACAATGACAGATTCTGACGACGGTGAGAAACTGATTCCGAAGCAGTGCTATTAATCAGCTGTTATTAGGTGCATGTGGATCTACATGTGTGTTCTGCGTGTGTGTTTTAAATAAATAAAAAACAGTCACGAGCATAGCTCCAGGTGCCTAGCAACGGAATCCATCGGTTGTCTTGGAAACGGTTGCTGTGGAATGTGAGGTGATTGGCAACCGTGACAACGAGGAGGGAATGACACTTGACCCGGTGTGCTGAGTGAGGGGGAAGACGGAGTGAGGGAGACAGATTAATAATCATTTTCCATTTTGGCATTCAGCCACCTCCTCCTTCTCCCTCACCAGCACCTCCTGTTTTTCACCCCTCTGCTCCTCTGACATGCTCATACACATGTACGTACACACACACAGGCATGTACAGTACAAGCAAGGATTGTTCTGAGGGGTCGGGTGTTATTCCCACACCGTCAGCCAGAGGGCAGCATAGAGCTTCTCCCGGATCAGGTGACTCTCAGCCAATAAGGGAGGCTCCCTTTGTCTTCGTTCCACTTCTCTTCTCTATTTATTAATAAAATTATTTCCAGTGGCCTTCGCACTAGGTATCAATAGCTAAGCAGCTCAGAATCATCCGAACACCGATGATTTGTGTACAGGATGTTGTGGTGTTTGTTCTGTTGCGGACATGCCCTGGTTCGAGATACAACCTGTGTGTCATGCCCCCTTGGCCTGGACTTGCTCCTGTTGTACATATAAGCCTGTATCACATAATACAGAATTTTTTCACGCATTCTATTCAGACATTTCTACAATTTGACATGACACTTGTCTTGTATTTGACACCTGGTATGTAACGCATATATTTCTCTCACACACTCTTCTGTCCCGGTTGCAGCTTTGACACGTGCATCTTCCTCTATGTGAATATGAAGCCCACTGTTTCTGATTATTTAAAAAAAGATCACAGATGAAACCCAAGGCAGGGATGCCAGACTCAAAGGGTCAAGTGGGAGGGGGTGGGGTGGGGGGGTTTGTAGGAGAGGGTGTTGCAGAAATGGAGGCACAATTGCTGTGAAGTGTCTGCACACGGGTGCGAAAGATCCAGATTTAGATTTTGGTTCGAATGAAAGGATCGCGGGGCGCGATTCTGCGGGGGCTTTTCTCGTGGTGTGTAGGGGTGGGTTTTCATGTCACAGAAAAGGAAGGATAAATGCTAAAAACAACAGCAATGCAATAGCACCCCCCCCCACACACACACACACACCACCCCACTCTTTAGACTCCTCCACACTCCCCCAGAGACATGCAAAAATGCAAGGACACGCACACACACACAAAGCACACCCACCTCCCACTAAAGCACAGGACCGCCGACCGCCCCGCCGTCCCCGTGGATTCTAACCCTTCCGAAATGGATGAGCTGAAATGCAGGCCGGTTTCACCAGCTGAACCGCGAGATTTATTCTACCTCCTCAAGGTGGGCCGAGATATGCTGGGCCTCTGCAGGCGTTTGTACTCCCAGTGACACCGTCTGCAATGTTTACTTGACGCTTAGGTGATTCGTTTACCGAGGGTGACAATTTTTTTTTCTCCCATTTAATCAGATGAGGGTACGAGCTGCGGGATTCCCATCGGCCTGGGGTGGGCAGTCTTTCAGGTCACACAATCGGTGCCCTTAACCCCCCCCCCCCCCCACCCCCCCCCAGCACATAATGGGCAGATCAATGCCCACCTCTTGTCTGTGTTGGCTTCCTGTCAGAGAAGATGCCAGCAGATAGAATAAGCTTGTTGACACACACAGCCAGAACTGAAAGGCCTTCTGTCCCATTTGACCCAGTTCATTTTTATTACTATTACTTTTTTAACAAATGTGCTTTTTCATCCAAGCTAATCCCAGTTTGTCCTTCCCGATTCAGTCCCCCCTCCCCCAGCTCCTTGTTTTCCCTACACTGGCTCCGTCTCACTCATTCTCAGATGAGGACCTGGCCCCATTACTCCCCCGGATCATGTCTGTGCGTCCCGTTGCCCTGAAGAGGACCCCATTCCCCCGGGCTGCCAGGGGGCCAGCAGGCAGACGGCTGGGCCAACAGACCATACAGTACATCTTCTGACAGCAAGACAGGGCCTGAATTGTCCGTTAGGTAGGATCAGTCATCTATTCACTCTAGCTCAACAAGCTTATTTTTCAGATGACTAAACAGATGTATTCTTCCACTGCAGGTGTACTGTATTGAACGAGTCTCTGTAAAAATTGCTGACTTTGGGCAAAATTAAAGAAAAACTAACTTAATTATAGTTCAATTCAATTGTGCCTGTAATCCGATCTTGTTGGGGTAAGCTGGACTAACTTCCCTGTTTCCTGCTTCCTGTTTTAATTATGTGCTGTTCTGGAATCTTCACCATGGGGATTAGTCACACTTACAGTAACTGGCTCCGTCTGTTACGGTATGTCGCTATCACACTTTTGATGTGGTAAGATATTAAAGGTGCAACCTCTAGATGTCTTGACATGAGAATGCTTTTGAATTACAGAGATGTACACTTGGTTTAAAATAGTCTAACTCTGGGGCAGACTGGCAACAAACAGTAGCCTGGGAATGTGGGGCGGGAGGGGGGCATTGTCCTCTTGATATATTTTGCCAATATTTTCCGATCGCCATCAAGCATCATCCATTAACCATCTTCTGCGGCTGACCAGGAAACCTGCCAAGATCGACCAACGGGTTGGGTACCGCTAATATAAAGGCTCTGTATTTGGGGAAGAAAGACCGGCCCTCACGAGACTGACCCACCGGGAAAATTCCCAAATGTCCCAATGGCCAGTCTCCACCTGGTATACCTACTCTCCTATTGATAGGATAGCTGAAATTACTAGTCTTAAAAGACTTTATGGTTATTTTTGCAAACAAACAGACAAGTAAAAACTCTTTTGAGGACAATTGTTTACAGTATTTAAAATTATAGGTATTAAAAGTGACCCTTTAAAGTTGAGTAATACATTTAAGCATATGCTGTATTTTAAGACTGCGATATTAGCCTGGAACAGGCAAGTAGGATTGCTGAGACTAAACATGTGAAAAACAGACATAATATTTTAATTTCTCACCACACTTGACCTGGTTCACTCAAAATAAAACACTTCAATCTAAAAACCTTTATCATGCACATAAAATACTCGTGTTTAAGTATGTATGCACTCTACTGTATACTGTACTTACTGAAGAAACATTATAATGTCGCCATCAAACATCTTGACAATGCCGCCATCTTGTGGACAGTGAAATAGATGACATGTGACGTTCATATATTGCATATGTATATAAAGACAGATTGCATATGTATATAAAACCTTGAGTGCGGCTTGTGTGTTGCTAAGTATGTGAAGTTTAGTTTTTTAATTGTCCATGTTACAGCCATCAGGCAACATCAAGTACAATTACAGACATAGACGGGAGCTGGATACTAAGATTTAAATGCTGGATAACCGTAAATTAGCTTATTAGCTGCTACTTAGTAAGACACAAAAACTTCAAGAGGTTCGTGAGTGTCTAAATATTTTGGTAACCTCACGTGACATTAATTACAACCGAAAGAGCTATTAAAATGAATTACTAAGTCATTCTTACAACGAAATGTATATATCTCCCCAAATAAATAAAGGTGTGAATATGAAATATTAATCAAGTATTTATAGTCGAGTAGAGACTCATACAGTATCTATATAAAGACCTCACATAACTCTGCCTGTACAGAACCTAGTCTATTCCTTTGTCATCTCAGATGCCTCGAACATTGAATGTGTAGTATATCGAAAACTTCACTAGATGGCAGTGTATTATATTTATTTTGTTTGACACAGTTCGAATAACCAATTCAACACGCATATGCCATGTTACCTTCCTTTACTATATAAGCAGCTTTTGAGATGCAAAAAGCAGTTCTTATTAATTACGTAATTTTACGGTCTAGTTTTTAGAGTTGGTCAGCTAGGGCACAGGATAAGCACTTTGATCAATAGTAAAACATCAATATCCAAGACCTATGATTCTGTGGTCATAAATATGCTTCCTCAGTCAATATGCTATTTTCCCACCAGTGTTTGTGTATGTTGAAGTTAATTTGAAATTTGAGTTTAAATGTATTGATAGGTTGCATATAATATTTGCAGGGAGTTCAGGGTTGAAAATGTTAAGCCTTAATTGGTTCCTGCAGCGTCATGTGCTGCAGGGTCGGTTTCAGCTGGCTACAGTGGTCCAGTATGAGCAACTGCATCATCAATGACAGCTCAGTGTCGAAGCGGCTCCGCTGCAGCTTGAGTACGGAAGTGCGTAAATAATGCCCCGCTAATCCCCATCGGCGGAGGCAGACTGAGGAGCATCAATCAATCAAAAGTCCACATAGTTTGTGTGTGTGTGTGTGTGTGTGTGGGGGGGGGGGGGGGGGGGACAGAGAGAGAGAGAGAGTAGGATGCTGCATAGTGAAGAACCCTCAAAGAAGATATTACCAATATGGAACTGAAGAAAACCGCGCTTGAAAGTTTGGGGGAGAACTCAAAATATTCTGCAAGAAAAACCGTCTAGTAAGAATCCTGGAAGGATTATGCCATAAATATCAAATTCAAAAATGGTCTGCTAAACAAAGTTACCCAACAGTATAAATGATAGAGTGATGATGACAGTCTATGAAAATGTTTTCTCTATAACCATCTATATACGGACGAAGCATTAGTGTGGTAGCCTAGTTATCGCGGGAAAGTCGTCAACGCAGCCTTTGTCACGCTATTACAGAGGTATAGCTTATGGAAGTCAACTGGTAAACAGTAATGACTATGCTAACTTTTTACAAAAGGTTTTGTATTTTATTTTTGTTAAATGTTTATGCACTACCATACCAAAGAAACCTATTGGTTTTTTTTTATCAATTTAACTATTTATTAGCAGAATACTTAATTCTATTGGATTTATTAATCTGTTCAGAGATGAGAATTTTATTAAAGTAATTATATTGAAGGAACAAGAGCAAGATATCTGCAGGTTTGTGTTATTATTATTCATGTATACATAAGGTTTTAGTTGTATATTGAAGATATTTTTTATCTAATCTCACTTTTACCTTTTGTTTAAGTGCACATTTTTTTAACGGTCGATATCTTGCAGTGCATTTGTTAAAATACTGTTAAGCTAACATGAGACGTGATTTTTATTTAAGTGCTAAGGGCGTTGAGTTATGATTGGCCGCTACTGTTGACGTAACGGCTACGCTGCCCAATCGGAATATAAGATCCATGAATAAACTATTTTTGAGTGAAGGAGTGGTTACGGGGAGGGGTGTGTCGTCGCGAGGAAGGGGATCAGTCGCGTGTTTGCGTCATATGTCAGTCTTGGCTGTCAATGCAAAAAAAAAAAAGAAAAACACTGGACTTACCATCAAAAATAAAATCAAACTCTCTGAAGTTAGGTGTTACGTCGGATGAATTTAATGGGATGAAATTTATAAATCTATGTGCTTCCCGGACGCTGATTGTTACAATCTGAATAATGAATAGCGGCACACGGCGCTTGGTGGCAAGGTGGTAAGAGCCAGTGACATAGGTCTGGGGCTGCTGGAAATCGAAATAGATATTTAGCTGTTAGAGGCTAGCTAGGAAGACCCAAGGAAGTGCCAAGAAAGTACGAAGACAACAGCGAAGAAGCAAATATCGTTTAAACAAAGACAAATGAAACTGCTACCAGGTATTTTCATCTTGCGTATTTATATAATGAAAGTTGGTAAACAAAGGCGTAGGTGAATGTTGTTTTGCACGGATACTAGTTTTATATGAGCGGAGTGCGAAGTAGTTTTCCTGGGGAAATCATGCACTTGCGAGGAAGAAAGGAGGGAGGAGGTCTGTTGGATAACTGTTTTGCATTTATATGTGCTTAAAACTGGCGTTATGAACTTAAACACGTAAGTGGTCTCCCCGTCTGTGTTGCTTCTAGTGGGAAGCGATTAGTCACACGCCGATCGAGTAACGTTAACCTATATACTGTAGCAGGAATCCGCATGGTAGGTAGCCGGAGTAAGATGGCAAACAGATTGCAATATAAAAAACCGCATTGCTGCTCCTCCGTTTATCGCGCCCGGCCGGACCGAATTGGTGCGGTTTTCTCGCTGCATGGGCAGCCTTTGTGGAAGAGAAAAGGATGCGTGGCTTACAGCAATGACTGCTTTGTATAAGACTGGTCATTATCTTTGTGTAGAAATGTGTGGGAATCAAGGTACAAGCACGTCCACTGCGTATGTGTCCGAGGTATATAAAATACTCGGTGAAATATTCTTCTGAAATATTTTAGAAAAGAAATGTGTAAATTGTACATGTAAATGTATTGTTTCTAATCGTAGATTTTCTTGTGCAAGGTCTGACCGGTGTATTTTGTTGTCTAATGATTGTTCGCAAATTATTAATGCGATTCAATGATTGAAATTCAGTCACCGACAGCGATGTCGCTGGTTTTAGATGCTTAAATTTAAAGTGCAGAGCAAGTATGAAATAATTGCCCAGGGAAATATATTTTAATTAATCCTAATAATAAATGTTAATGAGAATCTTAATCATCGATGTCCGATAAATACCTGCAGCAGGCGGCTTAAATGTGATGCGGCTATTTCAGACATTTCAATTGCTTTTCGTATTGGGATTTGAGCATATTAAAGTAAAGATTACCCTTCTAGTGGGGAAATCTTGGGCCAGGTAATAGACATTATTAACGTTATTAACAAGTAATCTCAATTGTGCACTACGTGGACATGGGAAGTGTATCACAATATTACATTATTGCTTTTATATTTTTTGTTCATGAACAGATATTAGTTTTTAATGCTAAAATTCATGATAGGGTAAGTACCAAGTCAACCTGCATATATCATATGCTCTATGCTTCTTGGCTGATGCAGGGTTTCCAGAATGAGGGAACGGTCCACGGAAACCTCCAGAATACGCTGATACAGACTTATTTAATACAGTTGATATGAAGAACCATAATACAGTTATGAATTCAATTTGATCATCTTGAACTTGGTGGACTGCATCTGGAATAGCAGTGCATTTGTCCATTCCATGAATTGCATCTTCACTGAAGCTCTCTGCCCATCTCTGTATTTAAAGCATTGCAACAGAGCTTTGTTAATATCCACATCCATCCATCCATCCATTCATCCATCTATCTTTGCATATCCTGGTCAGGGTTGCGGAGAAACCTTGCGCCTATCCGAGGGAGCACAGGGCGTAAGGCAAGTCCGCACCCTGGAAAGCTTTGTTTAATAATAATGACCTGAACTGAGACTGTGCTCATCGTGTAGGTCCAGCATAATCGGTGGCTGTTCCCATACTGAGGAAAGCGTTCTGGGGAGAACTCGATCGGCCTGCTTGCGGGTACATATTTATCATGCTTAAACTCGTGGGGGTGCAGCGATGCAGGGAGCAGTGGACCTCTGCACAGCGGCGTAACATGGAGAAGAGCGAAGGGACCCAACGTGCATGTTCTACAAGGTGGGAAGGTCCATTGTCCAGGAGCAGGCCCATAATCCAGACAGCAGTGCATAGTCCGTAATCACCATGCCGTCGATGCATTGCGGTCTGTTACGGTGGCAGACTGTGTGTCTCTTGGCAGTTGCCCACCATGACTCCTAGGTCAGGGTCCTGCCGGCTCTTCTAAAGTCACAGCAGGGTACTGAGGGGTGTGTATTTTGGGTTTTCTTTTTTCGTCCACAACTGGTCATTTATGGAAATTCTGAGTATAATTAGGACTGCTTTGCAGGCGTAAAGTAACACACTGGAAAAAGATTGTTGCTGTTAAGAAGATCCATAGTTTGGCCTGTTGGTAGAGAAGCGTCGGCTTACGGGAGAGCTTTGGGGCAGAGGGTTCACATTCAGTGCTGCGTGGTGAATGATGCAGCTTCAGCACCGGATAAAGGGCTCATATTCAGTATTGTGTGTGGTGAATGAAACAGCTTCAGCTCATGGTGAGGGCTTCATTCTTGGTAATGTGCGTAGCGCATACACCAGCTTCAGTGTCGCGGGATAAAAATAGGGCCGTGGGTGGTAAATGAAGCTGTTTCTAGGAAATATTGCTGATTGCAATATCACGATGGGTTTTTTTTTTTTTGTCAGTGCTGAGGTACAGAGTAACTTTAGAGTACTGCATGCGAGAGAGAGAAAGGTCGCAGCTGAAAAAGAGAATCAGGCAGGAGTCAATAGTTAAAAGAGCATTGCTTCTGGGGGGGGGGTGACGGCGGGTTCAGAGTGTTAATCAGCTGATTATTCCTGTGCCACATCACCGAACAGTGATCCTTTAAACTTCAGTGGCGAACCTCGAATACTGATTAATCTAACATCTGTTTGTTCTAATAAGAGGCTTCATTTTAATCATATCCCCTCCTATTTTAAATTGGCAGAGCCTTAAGATGGCCTGACGCCTTCATATAACACGCATTGGGCTGCACAGAGCCACACGGATGTGTCGCAGTCCAGCATGCGTTTCAACGGCGCCCCACGCGCCCCTTGTGGCCAGCTGGTGTAACTGAAAGAAAATTATTACATCTTCCGTAGCACTCTGTGGGTAATCATTATGGGCTGTGTGGGCATAAGGTCTGGTGTAGCATAAAAGTGTGATGGCGGGTGGCGGTGGGTGGGGGCCACTGTGAAATTTGCAATGCAGCAATAAAGCCCAGGAAATGGTGCTGAACTATTGCCCTTCCTTGGGATATTGATCAGGCGTTAAGCGTTCATCTCCGCAGTCCCCTTCGCAGTGTCCTCTCCGCACGCGAGCTTCTCTGCCGTCTCTTCGTTTTTAAGTTGCGGCACATCCGCCCCTCTTGCCCGTCGCCCTGTGCTCCTCGGCGGCCCGAGCCGCCGGCAGGGGGGCGGCTGGCCGCTTGTTTGCGGGGAGGCACCGCTGGATTCCCTCCTGCCAGACCCTCTCGTTTAGCCGCCTCGCCTACGTTGTCATCTGGCTGTCTACTCTTTCTTTGTCTTCCCTTTTCCCTGTTTATGAATTATTCTGTTAAATGATGTAGGAATATATTAAGACACATCTGTGTAAAGCACCTCGGGGCGACTCTGTTGTGAAAGGCGCTATATAAATATACATTGAATTGCGCTGAATTGGAGTCTAGCCTCTGATCATCCCCAGTGCCTCTGCTCTCTCTGCCTTCTTTTGCTCCCATCGTTTCACTCTTCAGCCACTCTCCCCCTTTTATTTGGACATCTGTACAGATTGTTGTCTGTTATTGTATGTCGGTGCTATACAGGCCTCCAAGTCCTTATGTCTCTCTGTGTTATACCTGTCAGCCTCTGTTATACCTCTCTGTGTCCATCTGTGTCTCTCTGTACCTTCTGTCTGTCTTTATTATACCTGTCAGCCTCTGTTATATAGTACCTGGCTGTGTCCATCTGTCTGTCTTTGTACTGTATGTCTCTCTCTTTTACACCTGTATGTCTGTGCTGTATGTCTCTCTGTTTTACACTTGTCTGTCTGTGCTGTATGTCTCTCTCTTTTACCTGTATGTCTTTATACTACGTGTTATACCTGTTTGTCTCTCTGTGTTATACCTGCTTGTTTCTGTTGTACCTGTCTCTCTGTGTTATACTGTAGCTGTCTGTCTTTGTTATAAGCCTACCTGTCTGTCTCTGTAGTGTATGTCTGTCTCTGTTATACCTGCCACTCTCTGTACTTTAAATCTACCTCTGTTAACCCTGTATGTCTATAAACTGTATGTCTCTCTGTTGTACATGTCTCTCCATGTTGTATCTGTCTGTCTCTGTATTGCTTGTCTCTCTTTGTTAGACCTGTCTCTTTTTGTTATGTGCCTATCTGTCTCTGTACTGTAGGTCTCTCTGATAGATTTGTCTGTTTGTACACTGTATGTCTCTCTGTCGTACCTGTCTCTGTGTTGTACCTGCCTGTCTTTAATGTGCCTGTCTCTGTATGTTTCTCTGTCATACCTGTCTGTCTTTGTTATAGGCCTACTGTCTGAGTATGTACTATGTCTCTCTGTTATCCCTGTCTGTCTGTATGTCTCTCTGATGTACCTGTTTCTCCATGTTGTACCTGTCTGTCTCTCTACTGTATGTCTCTCTTTGTTAGACCTGTCTGTCTTTGGTATAGGGCTCCCTATCTATCTCTGTATGCTTGCCCGTATCTCAGACTCATCATTCTCTCTCCCTCCATGTTTCCGTCTCTGTGGTCCCAGCTGAGAGATGGAGATGAGAGAGCTGAGCGTGGTGGTTGGCAGCTTCGTGGGCTTCCAGCTGCTCTTCTCTGTGGCCAGTCCCCGGCTCTCACCGGCCGTGGCCACTGGCTACAGCCGCCTGCCATCAGCCAAGCGTCCCGAGTGGAACTCCAGGTGGGAGACTGTCCGGCGCATGCACAGGGAAAGACACCCGCACGTGCAAATGTGCATACACAATCATACCATTTAAACGGCAAAAACTAGTGACAAATCTGCTTAGGCTCACAGTAAATGCATATGCGGATACATCAAGCAGCATGTCATGTAGTATTTTTCACAAAATGGTGGGAATTCATTGCTTGCAAGGTTTTGGCAGCAAAAGCAGAACAGGATAAAGAACTGATATTGAGTACCGTGTGGAATATGAAGCAGCTTCAGCACATGGTGACGGCTTCATTCTCAGTACCGTGTGGAATATGAAGCAGCTTCAGCACATGGTGACGGCTTCATTCTCAGTACCGTGTGGAATATGAAGCAGCTTCAGCACATGGTGACGGCTTCATTCTCAGTACCGTGTGGCGTATGAAGCAGCTTCAGCACATGGTGATGGCTTCATTCTCAGTACTGTGTGCTGAATGAGCCCACTTATGGATCACTTACTCTTAAAGGAGAAACACTAAACATACTGCCAGAGAAGCCTTAAGTAATGTATGTAATGTAATCAGTGCTGAAGATTTAGCCCGCCCTCTCTCACCGCAGGTGAGTAATTTAGACGAAGGGCAGGTACAAAAGCCTGAACCTTAGCCCGCTAGCTAGTAAAAAGAAATTGCATGTCAAGCTAATTTTTTTTCACTGAACAAGCACAGTTGGCTAGTAGCCACAATTTTTATAATCTGCCCCTGGGTGTAAGGTATGAGTTAACTGTGAGATGTAAGGCTCTGAATTGGTCGTCTTCGTGTTTGCGATGCATACTGACCCCCAGCCTCGAGGGTCCCTGGCTGTCCATAAACTCGATGCTGCGTGAAAGGCGTGAGCGTGGCAACGGTGCCCGACAGATGACTGTGGAGTCGCAGGACCGGAGATCCCGTGTGTGGCGTAACCTGGCGTTGTGACTCACCGTTTTGTTTAGTTTGCACGCCGCTCCTTCTGGTCATGCCTTGTGAGAGCGTGAGACCGGGCCCATTTCGGGCTGGTGAGGTCATGAAACACGCTCGATGGTGTGTGGCTGGCAGAGGCCCCGGGAGGGCGGCGCCCTGTAGTTTGTCGCACTTTTCTGCCGACACTCTTTAGGGCTCTGCCTCCGACTTGTCGTAGACCCAGACACTGACCGAGACCTTCACCAAGACCAGCCATCCGGGGAAGTGTGTCTCGTACCCAAAAGAGCCGGCTCAACAGACGTTATTTTGGTCAACTGATTTTTACCGTGTAATATGATAACTGATTGCCTACTTATCTTTTGTCACGGATTATTGAGTTGTGGTCATTTTGTAGTCTAGGCTTTGCCTTGGATAGAGAGCCGTTGTGCCAGTACAAAACGAAGTAGACCTTGATGTGAAACATCCCATAGCTAAGCAGTAACAGACACAGGAATACACCCAGTGTGTCTTTGGTTACCGTGAAAGGTCGCGGCACTTAATGGCACCTGACAGCTTGTGACACACATGACACAGCACGCATTTGGAGATTCTAGGGAGCTGGCGAATGGCGATAAGCGACTTTCGGAGGAATCTGGAAGGTTCTCCCTGGGGTGCAGCCGGGCGAGTGAGCAGGTGGGCGTCTGCTAGCTTCTGGCGTGTTAATAGTTGTTTTGTAGAGTCTCTGGGGTTTGGTTTCACTCATTAGCCTCTTAATGATCCTCTCTGTTAGCCATAAACCAGGCCGGTCTACCAGATCTCGCCCCATTGCTGCGGGTCGGAGTTGCAGATAATCGGAGAGCTGCAGATAACCTCGAGGTGAGGGGGGGGGGGTGCGTGGATCCCGCGGGCCTGACTCCTGTTTCAGGTCAGTCAACCTGCCTCGCTGCCATTCTGGTGTTTTTTATTTACCGGACCGTGTCTTTCACGTGTGCCTGCATGACGAGCTGCACACGCCTGCTGGCTGCTGAGGCCCTGGGTTCGGCCTCGTTGGGGCGTGTGCTGGTGTTAATTAGGCTACGAGCCAAGGAGGAGGGAAGCAGAGGACTGTTCCACTCTCCTCCCCCCCTACACACACGTACGCACATTCACACCTCCTCCACCCTCCCTCGAGAATCATTACCCTTGGCAGGGTAGCCAGGGGTTATGTATATTTAATGAACAGCGCGGTAGCCTTCAGGCAGAAGCAGAAGGCTTGCATCACCGCATAACCGCCCCCCCTCATTTGCCTCCTCCCTGGGTGACCGGCCTCGCTTGATCCTGAACAGGAGCGGTTCTCCACCTCTGTTTCCATCGGCCCGGTGTGGCCCGTAGTGGAGGGGCTTCGCTCACTCCTGGGGAGATTATAACTGGACATGGCCCAAGTGCTTTTCATGAGGGTGATAAGAGTTCCAAAGGTCTGCGCTTTAAGGCACACAGACACACACACACTAGACTGTCTGACTAGCTAAGATGTTTTTTTATGTTTTGTATATCATCCCATACCATAAAAAGCCAAAGCAAACTTTTTCTAACAGTTATATAACTTCTAGTGTTAAATAATTTCATCTTTACTCGAGTCCTTTAGTTCATTCAAAGGCACATCCCCCCATTACATGTGAAAGGCCAAAGCATGATGTACGTTTGTGACAGCAGACGATGTATAATGATGTCATTTCCGCGCATTGCTGTCCTGTGTAGTGACATCACAGCACTCCACCCTCCCACCCCCCTCCCCCCGTGTCTCCGTCCGCAGGCTGGTGTCCACTGTCCACGCCCTCATCGTAGGCCTCTTCTGCCTCTACATCCTGTGGTTCGATGATGCCGTCAATGAGGACCCCGTGTGGTAAGCGAGGGAAATGCGGGAGATACCCTGTGGTCCACCCAGTGCGGCCTGTGTGGGGCGTCGCATTGCGGGGGGGGAGGGGCACATCATATCTCTGTGTTACAGGCGGGGGAGGAGAAAAGCGCAGCCCTCCCACCATTCTGCCGATTTTCTGTGACAACAGGGTGTTTCCATCTCTCCATCCCCCC